GGGGGGGGGGGTGCTGTGGGCCGGAGCCCCCAGGAAGGACAAACAACCATTTGAGCTACCCTCCGTTTCCCTAAACCAATGCTTCCTCTTGGATTTCACGGACCAGTACAATTTTCTCCCAAACGTTACCTGCCAGGGTTTTTTTCTTCTTCTTCTTCTTCTTTTGCCTCCAACTTAAAAATCCAACCGAACAGCAGCAAAACCAAGCCTCTTATCTGCTCACATTTTACAAAAATCAAACACCTGAACCCCCAAAGATTAGGACAGAGAGAATCTCACACTTAACGAAAGCCTTCTAAATGCTGGTCTAGACAGCCTCACGACATCGCTTGTTCCCTCTGCTGCTGCTGGTCTGGGGGCCCCGACACCCAAGGCCGTGCTGCCCTCTCCCCAGCTGCCATCCCGGCAGCGGCAGCAGGAAGCAGGAATGGGAGGAAGTAGGAGCCCCGAGCAGCCCGTGGCCCTCGGCCCCCGTCTGTGTGCTGAGACCACATGCCGTGAGCCGCTCCTTCCAACGCCCTAACAGCTGAGGACAGGAGCCGGGAGGCCCCCGGAGGCCAAACTAGTCACCTCTGCCCAGCACATGAGAGGCAGCCCACGACCCCGGCACTGAGATGAACCCCACCCAGCTCAGGAAGAGCCTCCAAATGAAGCAATAACATCACTCCGAGAACTCAGACCTGAGAAACAGCTAGTGATAAGACCTCACGATGACAATGTCACCCCGTGTGCAATACGCACCGAGCACTATACCAACAACCCTACGAGGAAGAGCTCAGTGAAATCTCCCCCAGGGGCCATGAGTAGGTCTGCTGGCTCCTCCGCCTACAGATGAAGAGCGAGAGCGAGAGAGGGACAAAGCCACTCAGCTCGGAAGGGAGAGGTTATCAAAACCCAGTCGGCCTGCCTCCAGAACCCGAGCACTTAAGCATGCTGCGATCCTGCCCAAAGAACAGCTCCTAGGCCAGGACAACACCTGGCTGGCGTGGAGTCTACCATCAAAGCGTCAGGGGCAATTATGGGACCCGAGGGGGATTTGGCAGCTCAGGGTCTGCCAGGGTAATTAGAACATCCCCCTGTAATTAGACTTCCTCCACCATACTTCCCGCCCACTGAGCCCAGCCCAGCTTCCCTCACCACAGGCTCAAGGACGAGCCCACTCTCTCCCAACCCACGAAATCACTAGTGGGCCAGCTCCCAGGAGAAGGCTGTCTATTCCCAGCACAGGCCTGGCTCCCCTCCAGTCACAGAACGAGACCTCAGCCACCCAGCAGCCAGTTACGGCCCAGGAAGGGGCAGCTCTCACGGGGCGGGGTGTGAGGGCCAGCGGGGCAATGCCAGCCCCGGGACAGGTGGAGAGACCCGGTCGTGACAGAGCCGGGCCTGGCCCAACAGGGTGGGACACTGAGAGGCCACTTGCACCCTGGTGTCTGAGATAAGAGTCTCAAGGTGACTATGGGCCAACTGGGATAGAAACTGAAGAGGCCACTGGAGGCCTGGGGCCCGGCCGTGGGAGACGGCATCCGGCAAGAGCCAACAGCCTGCAGGCCCCACACCTCCCCGCAGCTCTCGGCCTCTCTTCACGAACACCCTGTCTCCGAAACAGCAGCCAGAGAGCACCCACCCTGCCGTGTGCACCCTCAACTCAACATCCCCACTTCCGGAAGGACTCCTCAGGGAAGAGCGCCCACAGATCTATACGCAGAGATGTTCAGAGCAGAGACATTCAGAGCAGAGACATTTAGGGACACAACCTAGAAGTCCACAGTTAGGGGCTGTTTAAGCAAATGAAGGCCGGCTCGATGAGGCAGCCGTTTCCATGGTGGCAGAGGGACAGGAGGAGCTCAGAGGGCAGGTCTGGGTGACATTCCCCGAACCGTGCCCAGGGCTGCCCCAGGAAGTTGGGTAGGAGACGGAACATAGGTGGGGGTCAGTTCGCTGTTAATACGCTTCTGTTAGTGACCCTTTCGCTAACAGAAGTGAGCACGCTTCCTTCATTTTTTTAATTTAAAAAGTTACGTAAAAACACCAGTTAGCAAAAATGCAGGCTATAAAGCGGCATGTTTAGCTTGATCCCATTTTTATAAACATATGTCAATTCACAGATTGAACAAAACAGAACAGAAAAGATCGGCCATACAGACACCAAAACGCCAACGCGCACGTGTGCTTGGACCATCTCATTTTCTGCCCTGGCCCGCCGTGGGCAGCGAGCACACGACTCTATGGGCTGTTTTGGGAGAGGCTCCCTGCTTGTGCCTACCTCAGAGACTTTGTACTCGAAGGTCAGCTTCTTCCCCTTCACACCTTCGTTGAGGGTCAGGATGAACCCGATGTAGTCAGCGTACGCCTACCAAACAAAGCGGGGAGTGGGGACGGGGAGAGGGGTGTCAGACCCACGGCCCCCTACAACCCGGGCCAGCCCCAGCCCCACCCGGCAACCGAAGCAGCCCGAGCTGGCCCCGGCTCCCAGCCAGCCAGCAGCAGAGGTTGAAGGCTAATGCCAAACTCGCCACCACCACCCTCCATCCTACACGGCTGGCAAGCCAGTGACCGCAGTGACACCTGGACCCCAGGCCAGACTTCACTGTGCGCTCACCACTACTGGCAGCAGTTCCTTCACACAACCCCACAGGGCGGACCCGGTCACTCTGCCCATTTCATAGATGAGGAAACCAAGGCTTCAGGAGAGGAGACCCGCCCAAGGTCTCCTAAGACCGAGATCTCATTAGACGTGGAGCCAGGACCCGGCAAGGTCGACTCCAAGGCTGCATGGCCAAGTGCTCAACGATTATACCCTATCACCAGGAGCGCAGGAATACCGGCAAGACCCGGTGGTCTTCCAGAAGTTTCCCCCACCAGACAGACCAGGCTGTCAGCCTGCAGTGCAGACCCCCTGCTCCCAGGAGAAGAAACTGTTTTCTGCCCACGGCCAGGTCTCCCGGCACACCCATCCCCAGCTTCCAACTGGGCGCTCTCTTCCCCGTTGCTGCCAGCACAGGGGTTAAGAAAGCACCGAGGGGCGCCTGGACGGCCCAGCCGGTCAAGCCTACGACTTCACTCGAGTCATGATCTCGAGGTCTGTGAGTTCGAGCCCTGCCTCCAGCTCTGTGCTGACAGCTCGGAGCATGGAGCCTGCCTCGGATTCTGCGTCTCCCTCTCTCTCTGCCCCTCCCCTGCTTGCGCTCTGTCTCTCTCAAAAATAAACAAACATTAAAAAGAGAAGAAAAGAGAAGAGAAGAGAAGAGAAGAGAAGAGAAGAGAAGAGAAGAGAAAAGAAAAGAAAAGAAAAGAAAAGAAAAGAAAAGAAAAGAAAAGAAAAGAAAGCACTGAGGTGCAGGCCCCTGAAGAGGGAATTCTGAGAGCAGGTGACTTCGGTTTGGTCCTGTTTCCTCTTCTTCTCTTTCGCCTCCCATCTCCTTCCTTCCTCCTTCTCCAAGCCTTAAGGATGCCAGCAGCAGCCACAGCAAGCCCCGAGAACTGACCACTCAGTGTCTAGAAGGGAGCATTCCTGCACCAGGCCTTTCCTACCGCCCGTGGAACGGCAACAAGTGGACATGAGGGGTCGCAGAGCAGGTCTGAGCCCTCGGCCCGCCAGCAGCTAGCGTTCATGGTCATTCCTACAAACTACACCGGGACACAGAGACAGGAAGCAGCAAGGGGCAGTGTGGCCCTCCGTGGCCCCTGCTCCCGCATGGGTCTGGGTCTCTGGACCAAAGCTCCGGTCATTCTTATAAACATGACATGCAAGGTCTCCACCAACACCACCATCCTCGTCACTGTAACAGTTGTTAAACGCTGCCTGCCGCTCAGCGAGGCTCACGGATGCCTAGCGCTGAGCCAGGTACTTTTTGGCCTTTGTGTCATTATGGCCTCCAAACAAGCCCATTTTATGGTAGAGGAAACAGGCTTGGCCAGGTTATGCAAGTTGCCTAAGTACAAGAAAAGGAATGGCGGCCTTGGGCTTCAACCTCTGACCTCCCTGGCCCCAAGCTCATGCTCTTGGCTGCTGCACTCTGCTGCCTAGTGAAACTGTGTGGGCCACGGCACAGAGCCATTCATCCACCCACAAGAGGCCCGTACACTTGACCGACAAGCAAAAGGCTTCTATCCAGTATCGTTCAACATACACTCCAGAAGAAAAAGTAACCAACACTTCTCGAAAAATGTTGGTGCCTACAATGGGGTCAACGACTTTACCTACAAAGGACCAAAGAGTAATGATCTTAGTCTCTGCGGGCCCCAAAGTCAGGCTCACAAATTCTCGATTCTGCCCAACTCTGCCACTGTATTGGGAAAGCAGCCATGGAAAATACTTAAACAAATGAGACTCGCTGTATTTCAAACTTTATTTACAAAAACAGGCCAAGGTCCAGATTAGATGAGCAGGCAGTAATTTGCTGATCTGTGGCCTAAAGCATAGTGGCTCCCAACCCCTGGGTCTCTGGAGGCAGAGGACCTGGGTGTGAATCCCGAACCTCATCCCAACCACTTACCAACTCTGCCACCTTCCTAAATTTCTTTATCTCCTGGCCTCAGTTTTCTCACCTTCAAAATGGGAGATGACCACTGAGCCCACTTCCCAGAGTTCTTGTGAAGATTAAAGGAGCTAAAAAAATAATAATAATAATACTTGGCCCACCATGAATACCCAATCCTCCTTGGAAAACATCCAGGGGGAAGGCAAGGAACTAAAGTCACATTTGGGGGTAGACTCATGGTTTTCAACCCAGGCGATGGGGCTCCCAGGCAACTTCTGACAATGTCTGCAGACATTCTGGGTTGTAATAACCAGGGGCAGGGGTGCTCCTGGCATCTAGCAGGGGGAGAGGCCAAGGAAGTTAGTAAACACGCTGCAAGGCACAGGACAGCCTGCTACAACAAAGAATTATCCGCCCCAAGATGTCAATAGTGCAGAGGTTTAGAAATCCCGAGGTAGGGGCGCCTGGGTGGCGCAGTCGGTTAAACGTCCGACTTCAGCCAGGTCACGATCTCGCGGTCCGTGAGTTCGAGCCCCGCGTCGGGCTCTGGGCTGATGGCTCAGAGCCTGGAGCCTGTTTCCGATTCTGTGTCTCCCTCTCTCTCTGCCCCTCCCCCGTTCATGCTCTGTCTCTGTCCCCAAAATAAATAAACGTTGAAAAAAAAAATTTAAAAAAAAGAAATCCCGAGGTAGAACAATCGAGATGACAGAAGGACTCAAACTGTGCCCTTTGAGCAGACGAAGGGACTAAGGTGTTGATCCTGGCAAAGACTTGGTGGGGGAACACACAGAAAAGACAATGTTAACCATCTCCAAATATTTAGAAGGCAAGCTTGTGAAAGAGAAGCCAGAAGGCTTGCACAGCTCCAAGAAGGACCAAGCACGGCAACACTGGGTGGGGGTGCAGGCTCAGCATAAGCCCAGCAGACTCCCCACGGGGAATCTGTCCTTCTGTAGAAGTGACCCTCCCCACCCCCGCTGCGCAGACCAGGTGTAGGCACCTGGCTGGAGCTGGGACCAAGGCTTTCCCTGTGGATCTGAAACTGACTTTCTTTTCTTAATCCCAATCTTTCCACAGCCTGTGCCAGAAGCCTGGGAGGCAGAAGCTGTTATTTTCTGCCCACCATTGGACTGAGCAGCACAGAGGGCTGGTCTGTACTCCTCCTTGTTCTAGGTCCCAGCTCCTTGGTATTTTTAGGCTCAGCCGCCTCCCGGGCCTAAGCTTCCACACGGTAACCTCAGCTCTCTTTGATACGCTGGCTCCCTGACTGGCTGTAACCTACAACCAAGAATCAAAGTGACCCGTGTCATCATCTAGGACACTCATGTTTGGCGAATACAACACTCAAGGGATGATGGTTTATGAGAACCAGGAGCAGAACTCTCCAGCGTTACCCTGGCCCCAGACCCCAGAGACCTTCCCATTAAAGTGTTCTCTGAGTGCTCCCCCTGAGAGAGAGGGACAGCCGGCTCCCCTGTCATCTCTCTCCCTAGCTTCTAACAGCTCCGGTTCCAAGAGCAAGAAATGTCAGGAGCTCACCGTCTTTGAAAAAGCCCAAGTTTGTCATCCCAGCTCTGACCCTACAGTGCAGATGTCACTGGTACCTGAGAACGCTTCCATTTGCCCATGTCTGGAACCGTGTGGATCTCCTTTTTTGGAATGATGAAGTTCTGAGTGGCTGGAGGGGTATCCTCCGAAGAATCTTGACAGAGAAAGTGAAAAAGCAAACAGATGAATAGAATCTTAGCCCCAACCCAACTTTCTCCCTCTCCCTCTCTCCCTCCCTTTCTGTCTCCCTCTCCCTCTCCCCCGCCCCCCACACACACTTTTAAACCAAGGCTCCAATATCCAGTCCCTTCGGTAAACCAGACATATACTCCCAGGACAGAGTAATGGCTTGTTAAGCCTTTCCTTACTCGGCAAGGAGCCCCCACAGTACTGGCCGTCCCCTCTACAAGTGGTAAGTTCAGTGGCTCCACCGCGCCCGCACCCCTCACCTCCAGCTCCCTAACCAGAGAATGGTTAGAAAAATAAAACCAAGTCGACCTTTTAGACATAAACAGGCAATTCAAAGACGAGAAGAAAATACAAATGGCTGATAGACATTTGAAAAAACGCTGCCAACCTCTGAATAAGCAAAGAAATGTAAATTGGATGAGATGGCTTTTCCAAATCAGGTTGGCATATTGAAAACATCCAGCAGCGACTGTGAAGGGGAAACAGGAACTTTCCTGCACTGCTGGTGGGAGTCTTGGTAGAATCTGCTGAGGAAGCAACTCAGCACGGGCTTCTGAAGTAGAAACCACATAGGGGCGCCTGAGTGGCTCCAACTTTGGCTCAGGTCATGATCTCAGGGTTTGCAGGTTCGAGCCCCAAGTCGGGCTCTGTGCTAACAGCTTGGAGCCTGGATCCTGCTTCGGTTTCTGTGTCTCCCTCCCTCTCTACCCCTCTCCCACTCATGCTCTTTCTCTCAGAGTAAACATTAAAAAAAA